GACAGTTTGAATTTTCAGAAAATTTAGAGGATTTGTTTGGAAATTGTTGCTGGAGAGCAAGACCTTGCTCTCCAACAACTTTTTCCATACAAATCTTCTTATTTTTTAAAAATTCAGACTGTCGTAAAATCTCATTCTTGATAGATGGGGGCCTCAAACTTGGCCATTTTGGCATTTTCAGTATGCTCTTTCCATTTCTGGCATTCTTTAAGTTATAGCCCATAACAGAAATTTTTTTAAGAAAAAATGTGGTCACGTGACCCCAGCTGCAAACGGCCTATTAAGTGGGATTCTACATGTCTACTGGAACAACAGTTTATTGATAACTCAAGACTTTTGATTTAGTAATAGAAGCTGAAATCTTAGCTGATCTTCGGTATGTAATTTTGAGATGCCCTAAATAAACAAATTTAAGGCTGAAAGTGTAAAGGTTCTCATTATCGTTCGTAGATTTCTTCCAAAAAAAGCATATCACGAGTTTCAAACGCTCACTTACCTATGATGGGTCGATCTTTCTTTTGCTGGAACGATCTGAGCTGAGGTCGAGCATGAGTCAGCACCAGACAAGAGTATAAGGAAACTAACACAATCCATCCAGTTAAATGCATTTTGGTAGCTGCTTCCCCAAGGCCGATGCTGTCTGCACGCTATGCAACTCAGGAACAGTATATCAGCGATGTATATGTTAAAACCGCCAATCCTCTTTTTGCAAGATCCGATATGGAAACATCACATGCTTCCTTCGTGACACTGTCGCAAAGTTTTTAACGAGGCTTCACACCACTAGTAACCAATCCCCTCGCTTAAGCGGCATTCAAAATGGCGGCGCCGGTGATGAGAATTTGTCGAAGGTGTATTTGTTCTCAGGCCAAAAAAACACATGTTAAACGAGCGAACCCTCATATAGATAGAATAGTTCGTGTAGACCATGCTGGAGAACTTGGAGCAGATCGTATTTACGCAGGGCAGATGGCAATCCTCGGAAGAACCAGTGTTGGGCCGACTATCCAGGTACGGCACGTTATGTAAGAATTAGGCATGTCAGTTTTTATTATCATTTTATTTTTTTCCTGTTTCACTTTCATATTCCTCTCTGTTAGACCAAGATAGAATCAAGCATAAAAACTTGAAAAACACTGTGATTGAACCAGGCCGTAACGAGAGACTCTATTATTAACCTTGCTGACTAGGGTGGCCCGTTTTCCAAGATCTTGAATCGTGATCTTTCTCTGTGGAAAAAAAAAAATGTTTTCATCTGAGGAGGCAAGCTAGCACTAAGATTGCAGTTTTTGATACTAAGATCTTGGTAACTGGCTGGATGTCTTACTCATATGGACACTATATGGCCTAGACATCAAGACAAGAAAGCTTTGAATGTTGAGGGTATCACAGTACTAAAATTCTTTCATTTTGCCAGTCAGGACTCTAACCAGAACCACAAGGAGTATTGGGTCACAGTGTCTCTATTGCTTGTACAGGTTTCATCTAAACCTTTTTTGACAAACTTTCTGTTTCTGTTGTAACTTGACAGCATATGTGGGACCAAGAAAAGGAACATCTTAAAAAGTTTGAGCAGATTGTAACTGAGAGAAGGGTGCGGCCCACAGTTCTTGTACCACTTTGGAACATAGCAGGATATGTTTTAGGTATAGTGAAATAATGTAAGTGTTAAAAGACCAATATGTAGATTTAGCCAAGCCTAAAAGCAGAGCTCCTGATTACAATTTAACCTAGCTTGAACCTGCGATTCCATCAAAAACCAGTGCCTGGGCAGTGGTCAACTTGAAAAAAACATGCAGTCTCAATGAGCTCTAAACCTGAGCCCACGATATGGTCATGTGATACTAGTCAGCAGATACCATGTTTTCACAGTTGTCAATTGACTGTAACATGGATTTTAAAAGATATACTGTAAACCAAGGCTGCCTGTCTGGAGTATGGCTGCCATGTTGCGTGACATCATTGTCATCATCATTGTCTTCATCGTGCGCATGTGCTGACAAGCAATACCACTAGCCATGATGACCATGAGAAAAGCCATTCACGGGTTCCTATGAGTATGGTGCTCTGCTTGGTGGCCCTACGGGTTGCCCAAGCTCTGCTATTAAAAGATGGTAAATATATAAAAGCAGAAGTGAGGAAATTACCTGTAATGTGAGCTATTTCGTGTCACGATGAGATGGTTATGAGTATCAACGTAGAGCACTGAGCAGTGTTCTTCCCAGACAGATCTTACATGCTTTTTTTGAACCTTCATCAAATTTAGGCGCTCATGAACATGCTAATCAAAATTCAGTATACAAAACTGGAGGTCACTGGATTCATGTTTGAGTTAAAAGCCCTTAAGAGTAAAATCGTGTTTTTAATGGGCTATTCTATTGCTATGGCAACAGTTCACAACAAGACGAAGGCCACAACTTGTTCACCAGTGACTGGGAATTTGTTTGATACCATCATTGTAGCATCAACTAAGAATGAGAGAATGAAAAGAAGTGTTGAAAATAATACTGGAAACTGTTATGAGCTACCTGAAGTAAGCTTAATTAAATAGATCTGTATTATTTTGTACATTGTGATTTTACAAAAATTAGTCCTTTATGGAATATTAAAGTATAAGTATATTTTGAGAGCACTGTGTCATACCAGATTTTCACTGTAGTTTACATGCTTCTGGTCTTTGTTTAGTTCATTGTGATTGCCATACAGGTGCAGGGACAGCACTGTTGGGAAAGGAAGCAGCCATGGCTTGCACTGTAGCTGTGGAAGAAGTGATTAGTGAACATTATGACAAGTGAGCATCATAGTCGTAGAGTTCCTCTCCACTGGGTATCGTAAATCCAAAACCAAAGTAATCACTCTGGCTGATCACAAAGGGAACACCCAGACAATGTAGTTAACTAATCAAATCTCGAAGAAAATACATGTAGCTCCATGTAGCACTGGGAAATAAACTAATCTGTGTAAGCAAGTCAAGATTGCTTTTGGTTTTACTTCTGATTGGATGACAAATTGGCACAAGTTTCTTTACGTAATTGCGTAGTATAGAAATGCAAGGCCAAAGCTAAATAATGCAAATTACTTTCAACACTCAAGTAAAAACCACTCTTGATGAATAATTAATTTGTTATTAAAGATATCTGAATGCATATAATATGAGGTATCAATCTCTTTTGTTCAAACCAAACTGATTTCTCTCACACATAATTTTAAGTTTTATATGTTTACTCTGCATATCATAGTCAGCCATTCCAGAATTTTTTAGAAAATAAAATAAATTCTTATAATTTTTAAATGAGGTTTGCACTAAAAACTACAATTCTTTATGTTTGTTGTCGATTGATGAGCTGCAGACCCACCATTTGTTCAACAAGGAAATTTAATTTACAGTTAGCTGATGAAAAATGTACTTGTTATTTTTCAATTTCAGTCAGCTCAGAGAACTGTTGTCATCAGAGGGTGTAACAGATGAAAATAAAGAATTATTAGATGTAAGTCAAAAGTCCTGTTATTTTCTTTGGTAATATAACTTCACCAAATTGTAAAGGAGTTACTGGTAGTACCGGTAGATGCCAGTAGCAATTACCATTGCATTATGATAAGGTTTTTCCAAAAGCAGCAAGCCAACCAAAAGAGATGGCTTGTGCCATTAGATTCATGATTCAGTTGAATTGTTTCCCCTTGAAGAGAGACAGGAAATGGTGAGGAAAATTTTAAATGGAAAAACAGGAGTACCTTTGGAGTTAGTCCACAATTTCTGAACAGATTTTCAGAAAGAATTAATTACTCTTAAGTTGACTCTCAGGTAATATATCAAACAGGAAAGACTGGGTTTGACCACATTAAACACCAAGAGAGTTGAAAATAAGACATGTACTGGTCAGGAGTGTTTCCCATGAACTTTGAGGTGTTTGGAAATATGGTCAGACACAGTCTTGAGTGAAAGTGAAGATGATCATCGCAGTAAATTTTCCGATTTAAGCAATTGGAAAGAAGAAGCCTGAAAAAAATCAGCGCTTCATGAAATAATTCATATTTCATAAATTATTTCATATATGCTTCACATCATTTCACTCCTCATGGGAAGATATGAACTCAATTAATTGACCTTGCTCCCAATGTGTGGCTTCATAGCTCAGTTGGTAGAGCATCGCACC